CGCTTGTCTGGGAATGGGCGGAAGTGCCACTCTGTTCTCAGCTGGGGAGGGGCATCGTAAGTCGGGTGAAGAAGGGTGTCTAGTTCCACTCTCGGATGAGGGCTGCCGCGACTGGCAAGAGGGAAGCACTGCTAATCTGGGTGAAGACACGTCTGTACTCCGGTGAAGAAGAGCGTTGCTACTCTGCTAGAGAGAGGTATCTCCGGGCTATGATCGAGTGGTTGCACCGCCGCTCTGCGTAGGGGGTAATGCCTCAACCTGGTGGGGATTATCAGCTTTCACAATCAGGAGAAAGAGAACCTTCAGCAGAAGGGAAGTATGTCTCCACACTGATCGAGAGGTGGTACACTACGGAAGAAGGAACTTCCACTCCGATGGGGAGGAATGCTGCTTCCGTGACTGGGAGTAGCTGGTGGAGAACGGTGCTACAGTGGGTTATAGAGGGGCACGGTCACTATAAGGTGGGCAAGGGCACCAGTTCCCTCGGATTTGTTCGGACAAATGGAAAACAGCGTCAACAGCAGAGGAAGGGCGGCTGACAGGAAATTACGCATTCTCTTCAAAGATGTGAGCGGGTATGTTTTGGATCAAGTTAGGACGAGATGCAGCCCGTTGATATTGTTTCAGGGTGGAATCCGCAAAGTAGACGGGAATATGGATTGTAGTGTGTGTAGAATAAATTATCAAATGCAGGCGGTACTGCAATGGTGCGTAACACTTTCGTGACTGGAAGCGGGCTGCTGTATGACATCGTCTCCATATGTGCGAGCGTAGTCTAACAGACGGTGATGCCGCATCAGGTGGCCATTCTGTCGTGGCTATCTCCGCTCTCAACCATTAGCTGTACGCCTTATATCAACACCAGGAACTTGTGCGTCGTGTTTCAATGATTCGCTGAACCCCATCGTGGTAATCTTATCGTCCACTGAGCTGTGGGTTATCGGATGCGACCCCCACGTTGTAATGATGCCGGCGGCAGGCTTTCGGGGCCATCGCACTTCACCGAATCCATTTATCTGAAAGATTTGCAGAACAGAGAAGATTTCATTGCTGCACACACTCGGACGTTAAGGCGGGGTCGGAGGTTGTCATGAGTGTGATGGAGTCTCAACGAAACATTACCCATTGGTGCCCATCATATTCAACATAACTGCACCGTAGCCAAACTGATGTCAGTAGCTATGAAGCTGCGGATGACAAACCCTAAAAGTTTTTCTCCCCCCCCCCCCCCCCGCCCATGTCATTGGGTGTTCTTTAGTGGACCAGATGCTGTGTCTGAGGTTGCAGTGGCTCGCGCGCGGCTCGGCTTGGCCGGTCACTGACGCCCAGCCCGGCCCCCCACAGACGCCAAGCTACCTGACGCTGGCCAGGTGTCGCCTCGGCCGTCCCCACCTCAGCCAGGAGTCGATCCAGATTCACAAGGTGCTCAACGAGTTCATGACCGGCCTGAGCAAGCCAGCGGCCCGATGACGTGCGCCGTCAGATACAGGTTACGGTGGGGCACCGCCTCGGCGCCGTGCGGCCGGCCGGGTGCCACCAGGGATCGCGAACGGTGGTCGGTCGTGGCCGGTTGTGGCACGTTCCGGGACAGTTGGACTTTGGCTGCTCGCTTCCCGGTCGTCAGTGTGATGGCCGCACCTCCTGAGGAAGTTCAGTGGCGGTATTTCATATACATGGCTGACCCTGGAGATTAGTGTGCTCCACGGCAGTGAATTCGGCGGGCAATCATTAAGCTCCCAGCAGCCCCCAATGTTATACACGGGATGGCCCTTGCTCGATAATGACGACGGTTCCTGGTGGTATTGTTTTTTGAAGCCGTATTCTCCATATCAAGAGATGGAGAAATTTGCGTAGAGCCCACTGCCATTACTCGGTGTTATTCGCGTGGCGCGCTTGGTGTAACTGTGCCCTGGATTTATGGGGAGGGCACTGCCTCCTGCCCTCGGGCAAGCAGATGTTGGTGTGCTTGCTTGTCCATATCATACCCGCAGCAGATCATCCCGATCGCAGTTTCCAGCACAGCTGGTGTGTAATCCCATAATTCGGTGCCTCATAGCCGGGGCGCACAAAAAGCTAAGAACGGCAGCATTGCGCGTCATATGCCCACACAGATGTGCCCACAAAGTCGTCATGCTTTGCGTCAGACTGAAGTCTAAACGCCATGCGCGCGTTCGTTCTGCGCGCCTAGCTATGTCGCTGGTGACGCGGTGTGGGGTCGGGAGATGACGTCACCTCAGGTGGCGAGCGGCAGTAGGGGCGGCGACACTAGCTGCGGGCTGTCAGTGACGCATGGCGGTCGTTCTCCCAGTGTGGTGATTGATGAGGCCCTGGGAAACACTGCTTACGCATCTGTGGATGCAAAGGGTGAACGGAATCAGAGTCATTTGTCTTATGATCGTTTACGTGGATTCCACTGAATGATTACGTTCATGCTGTTGTCGTAACTGGTTAGGCTTTTCGGGTGAATTGCGCAGCGCGAATCAGAAAGCATCTTCGTAACGTTCGTGTTAAAGACGCAAGAAGGTTTGGGAAATGTTTGATACTGTGTAACGTTTGCACACAACCTAAAAGGCACCCATCCAAGATGCCAATAATCTTAATGGCGTGAAGAATCGCAACAATACGGCTAGTGCGATCCATCTGCTGGCTTGGGCCAAGTGTACAAATACCGCCGAATTGCGAAAGGTTTGCCGCATTCCAGCTTCGGTTGCATATTTTGTCGTTTGTTGGTTGCTCCAACAATGTAACTTTGTTAGATATGTGTTTTGAAGATCCGTGGGTGCGGGGATAATTTTCATCCAGTAATAGTGAAAAGAGGTAGGAGACGAAATACCTTATCTTATGGCGTTGAGGTGAGTGAGCCACCCAGTCGTTGGAACGGACGGATGACAGCAATAGTCATAAGAAGTGTTTCTGAAACGTTTTACCATTTGGTTTCCGTAAATTTTTATTAGATACGAGATCCATTCCACCCTCCTTTTTGTCGGCCCTCTGCATGGCGTGACATTGTGATACGTCACATCAGTCCATAGACCTGTACACGACGCGGCCTGTCAAGACCGGTGTCTGTGCGGGCAGGCGAACATGGAGAGCTGCACCAGCGCTGCCAACACGGCCACATCGGACGAGATGTCCGAAATCGTGCAGACGTTCTACAACAACTTCCATGACCGCATCCACGGCCAGTCGGCATACTACGGTACGCTGCGTGACCCCGTACTGCACGGGGTTGTGTTTGTCCCCTAGCGTCAAGGACCGTGGTCGGGCTGGCGCGGACCACCCGGGCTTGGAGCCCCGGCCGTGTTACGGTCCCCGGCGGTAATGTGGCCATCGCAGCCAGGCTGCCCCGGCACGGCTCACGGCAGCGGTCGTGGTGCTCCTCACTTCAGAAATGTCGCACCCAAGCGTACATTGCTTGCAAGCGTACATCCATGTACACATTGCTTTACTGCCAAGTGCGTCGTCTTACCGTTGCGTCACGTACAGCCCAGCTGCGCGATGTTGATCAGTTGCTGTGCGGCGGGGGCGGCGGCAGGCGTAGTCTTAGTGCACGTTGCTTTGTTCACAAGCATGGCGCGCCGTGTACCATTCAGCTGCGACGCCGCCGGGGTGCCGGCTTGTGTACTCAGGTGCGTCACGTGTCAAGCCTCCGGAACGGTGCGCTGCACGGCGTAGTTGGGTGATGCGTGCCGCCGGTATTGTGTCAAAGGCTGTTGACGTTTGGTGCCCTTGATGACGTCACCTTTGTTGACGGCCAGTGGGCCATGCGACGGCGTTTTTGGTGACCTGCGGTGGCCGGCCTCAGGCATGACGCGTCAGGAGCGGAGGGCAGAGATGG